AATAAATTCCAGTGTCATCTATTACGAACCCGAACTCTGTGCGGCACCCACTGAAGATCTTTCCATCTTGAGAATTTAAGGGGCCACCTGACCTTATACGGAGGAGATCTGGCGACCTGTACTAGTAGATTGTTTCCGCCGTTTCTGCTGCACAACTATCTTCCATTGGCGTCTCTGTGCAGTCGCTCCCAATATGTCCAAATGTGTAGTGGTTAGCCTCAGACTGCAAAACATCCCCTGATTTTTGGAGAAGTCCTCAACCCCTAAACTGCACTGCTTGTCCAACTAAGTGTAGAGGGATCTTCCCAAGTTGTACACAGTTGAGCGTTTGGTCCATACGATATGCTGTTCTCCTATGAGGGTGCCTCAGATAAGGCTATGCAGAAATTGGTCAGTAAGTCATTATTAGCAAAGCAGTCACTTGAGGCCCGACTGTTTCTCGGAAACCTCCTTCCTTTCACATGGCCTCACATCCTGCTGGCCTATTTTTCGTTATTAGCATCCAAGAACTGAAAAGAATTTACAGGAAAATTTCAACTTTTCTCACTAGAGCCTCATACTGATCGAGCGTTTCCGTGCATTCTTCTCGAATGACGTGAGAAGAGTTAAAACACTGGCGATTATTCTTGGCCTTCTTCTGCTCAGCCACCTATTCCACGCGGGCCGCACTCTTGGCGATCACCTGACCAATTCCTGAGCATAGGCGGCGTCCATGCCGCAGTCGATAATGTTGCCACAAGTCATCATCCGAACATAAACCTTGCTAGATGTTACTTGTACCCTCCTCTTATACCCCAACCAACACCCCCAACCACACATGCTACTGCTGATTATCATTGGCGTCCATGCCGCAGTCGATAATGTTGCCACAAGTCATCATCCGAACATAAACCTTGCTAGATGTTACTTGTACCCTCCTCTTATACCCAAACCAACACCCCCAACCACACATGCTACTGCTGATTATCATTTTCATAACACTCATTTTCATAAAAGTCATCACTTATCTGGCTGACAACTCTTCCCTTCTTGAAACCTTTCTGCAATATCATACTAGAGGTCAGTGGCCGATCATCCAATGCCATGAGAAATGGTCAAGATGTTGTAATCCTTTTCTTAGCCCAGTTATGCCCATATCCAAGGCCGTCTAGGTTAGCGGAAACAACGACAGATCACGGTTAGCTTAAAAATATAAATCCGGATTGATTACTCCCATGTTTAGGGACAGCCACCTTTCGTCCAGTGCCGCATGGACTTGACGAGGTTGAAACTAGTTTTGGCAGTTGCATGCCAGTTTGATCTTGTTCCGCCCCGCTGCTGTTGGATTTCTCCTGATCGATAAAACATATTTTGGCTAGAGTTTAATACTAAACAATCCTGCAACAAACCGGTGATTTGTTCGTCGCCATAAAGATCTGGCCAGCGTGCATGGGAACAATGAAGATATAATTTTGAGAACGTCTGGCATGGAGGCTCGCCCTGAAGTGCTGCACGCACGGGCTACGCCGGCGCCCACCATCATTTCACTGATACGGGTGTTTTATTCTCCCATGCTGTATGTTTCTGAACATGGTAAATAAAAACCATCCGCTGTCGAACACCCGTGCCGCTAATACAAGCATGCTATCTTTGTTGCGTATTTCTATTTTTAACGTTCCAATGCGGCGTTATTTCTTCCATCCCAAACTCAGCTGTTCACTTAGTCACAACTTCATGCCATACTACTCCCATGCCATTTAAGTTTCACCGTCGCCTGTGTTTCAACATGTGACGAGGCCCGGTATATTTTCGGTAAGGCATACAACATTCAATTTTTGGATTTGTAGAAAAACTGGGCCAAGCAACCAGTTGTCTAGGGCGTCTATGCGGCTACCAGCGACTCCCCTTGATGCGTGATCTGCCGGATTGCCTTGCGTAGGCACATGCCTTCTCACGAATGATCCCAGCGTATTAGCGACGAACGTCTTATATTAGGACTTTCTGTTATTGATGTAATGAAGTGCAATAATAGCGTTAATCCACAGATATACGCTGTCTGTTTTCAAACTCATCTACCTTAGGAAGATGCCTTTTAATATTGCGGACAAGACAGCGGCTCGTAATTCAGACCACAGTGCAGTAAAACGCTTCATGGGGGCAGCACTGGATTCGCCAATCAGAAAATTACACCACACCAGCCCGTAACTGCGTACAAAACGTAAATAAACAAATGACTTTTGAGGCATTGTAGAAGATATGCCGCTCACTGTTACGGCAGTTTAAATCTGCATGAGTAATACGGAGGAAATTACAACCAATCGATTGGAGATAAGCTATTGCGTTTTTAGCTGGGAGATAAATAGAAGAATATCTTGCTTCATCATGTTCACCGGTACCATTCGTGCAATCTGTGACAACCCTTTCCAGACCCTCATCAAGCTGATATATGCACACACTTTCGGCAGGTTAGGAAAAGCTTTCATTCCGTTGCATCCTAGTCCATGTGGTAGACGTGGTTTTGAAGCATCATGGTATGGAAATACTTAATTTAAGGCCGTAAACTCATTGCCGATATGGACAGTGAAGAACTTCTTGGAGGTCTTTGTCGTAGATCAGAAAGAGGACAGATCCTCAGATGGAACCTTGAGGATTTCCAATGACGGCCCAATACACGTTAATCTAAGTTGTTCTCACTTTCACCTGAAACGATCTATTCGACTAGAGAATCTAACTTGGGCACGAAAGTTTCTCAGTGATCCATCAGGCCGGTGTTCTCCGGTGGAATATGTAAAATCAGCATGAAGCATTTGATTCCAAGTTGTGGAAAGCATATACGAGTGTATTTTCTACATTCCGACGACCGTTTGATGGCTATTTCTGTCCTCTCCTTGCCCACCCCGCTGTCTATTTTTCCGAGGGACGCCGCTTGAGACGGTGCGGACAAAACCCTCAATAGCGACTGCAAGCAAAACGTATGACGCTGAACATATGGTGCATTTATGTGCCTTCGTTGAAACTCGCAAGTGAGACGTTTTCACAGGGCACGTATGCAGTGAACGGCGTCACACCACCGTGGACTGTCTGTTTAATGTCTCGCCAAAAAGGCTCGCTTCATAGCAGTTGCCTTTTTTCAAGCTCAGAGTGACACAACACATCGTCATTCTTATGGCCTATACATCTTTACCTCTTGCAGGTGAGCCTTGGACGCAAACTTACCCTTTATAATTGACGTTTGAATGCATGGGGAGCGCTACAGAGCTCTCCGTACGGCATTAATGGCCGTTTGCATGCTACAGAGCTCTCCGTACGGCATTAATGGTGGAAAGTTGAAAAAGAACTCAGAAGCACGTCTGGGTCTGTTTTCTTGCAACCATTCTGAATGGAGAGGTTTGAGTTCGGATTCAGAGAGTACCAGGCCATAGAGATACTATACCACTTTGGATAGTGGATCCGACCTACAGCGATCGGTCTGATTTTCATCGTAAATCAGTTGATGGTGGCGCCTTTGGATGAAGTTCTATAAAGCACAGTGCCCTTTCAATAAAATAACCTGGGTGGAACAAAGTAAAGACCATTTTCGGAACGGGAGTCCGATGCTTATTTTAGTTCAGGCCCTCTCACTATCAGCATCCGCATCCTGGGAAGCACCGTAATTAAGTGTCAGTTTGTTCCCAAATATTCATGTCAAAAGGAAACGGCTTCACTGATTTTGCTTGTCCTCTATGAATTTACTTTGTTTCTTTTTGTATGGTAATTCCTGTGGGGTGCATATCACAATCGAACCATAGACGTTGACGAAAGGCTAAGAAGAGTGGGATCGTATTGCTATCTGGTCGTCCCTCAAACCCGTACAATTGGAATGTCAAAATGCTAGATATTTCCGAGGTCTTGAAGTAAACTGAAGAGAATTTCGCCGAAACTTTGGGGATCTGACGACGAGAAATGTGCAGAGAGTTAGTCAAGTTGGGCTGCACTTTTCAGTGGTGTGTTGCTCATGGCCCTTTGTTGATGTGAGCTAAAATTCAGGTTCACCAAACACCGGCGATTTGTATACAGCTATCGACCTACCAATAAAGTAAAGTTCCAAGTGATTGCACAAATCAACGACATATGATGATCCAAAAATCGGAAATAATTTGCGCGTAATTTCCAAGTCAGTCTGAATCCAAATGGGATAGCGACATTCTACGTATGCGATCTACTCGTTTGATTTAACAGGTTGGGTAACATAGTCTGCGGGAATACAGAACAACACATTTGCTTGGTAAACTCGCCTCGTATCGAATATAATCACGGAGGATAATTTGATTCATTTCGACATATCAATGACAACCAGAATCTACATTAAGTATACTCACTCACATGTGCGCGCAATTTTTCACGTAATACAGCGCTCTGGGAAAGCCTGCATGTAAATCGCAAACATTCTGACGACAGATCTACTGCTAGGATGCGTAACGTCAGTGAGTCCGAGTTTGCCATAAAATGAAGCTAAAGTTGTCTTTTCATCACCATGACCACGTGCGCTATTTCTTGTCTTGATAGCTTGTTGTTGCTAGGTACGTACCCCTGGGTTGATTATGGGACCTCTGCTTTGTCACAGCTCATGCGGTGGCTACCGACGGTCCTTCATCATCATGGTAGTGTGCACTGCCTTTAGGCAGAGCCCAAGTCTGAAACTTTTATATTCGTTATTTGCACACTGTTTTCACGGATATATTCCATTAATTGATACGCAGGATTTTCAGGTCCGTTTTGTTCTTGTCGGACAGTGACTGTCGTCCACCTGAAAGGCACAAGTAAAAAAAGGGTGTAGCAATGCTATTTATGTTCTCAGCGCGGAGCAGTATGCTTCCCAGCGCGAGGATTCCCATAAATAAATGTCTAATGGTGCCTTAAACTGGGTTCTGGAAGGAGCATGAACAACCATCAGAGCAACGTCATTCCACGCACCTACCACCCGAAATGGGGAAAATTTTGTCTAATGAATGTGTGTGCTCTGAGATTGAAAATTTTCTTACTATGTCCCCGCCTTGTGTTTGCTGGGTCAATGGTAAAATCCTGTTTGCCAAGCTTTGTTCAAACAGGGTATAAGTAAGAATTAGGTCTTCTTGGAGGCGACGGTACACCAGGAGAAAGAGATCGAGAATCGCGAGACGCGTTTCGTAGTTTACGGATTTGGGGCCGGCAACCATCCCCGTGGCGGCTCGCTGGACACACTCAATGAGGGCGACGTATTTCGTGCCTCCCGAGTAGACAACGTGGTTGGCGCATTTGAGGAGTGGTCTGACGTAGGCCCCATAGAGTATTTGGAAGTCCATGCGATTAATACGGGAGAAGGTGCGTCGGATCGTCCGTAAAATGGTGAATGCCTTTTGGGCCAACTTCTCAAGACGAAATCAAAAGGAGAAGTTTGAGAGGAGACCCAGATGCCCAAATCCTTTTGGCACCTATCCTCACAATATTTTCTGGTCTTTTCTCACCATGCATAACAAAGGCGTTCACTGAGTCTCCTCCAAATGACATATGGACGCACCTTTCGTCATTCAGAGGAAGGTGCCAGTCCAACGACCACTGCTCGGCAGCGTCCACATCCAGTTGGAGGGCACTGGCATTGGAACTCCGGGATTTCAAGTCGTCCGCATAAAGTATACATGGACTCGGATTAAAATCTGGCAGGTCGTTGACGCAGATAAAAAATATCAGTGGTCCCAGGACGGATCCTTGAGGAACTCCAATTTAGACCGGCGCTAAAGAAGATTAGGTCGGGCCTATTCTCACTCGCAATGATCTGTCTGATAGGAACGCTTTGATTCAGCGAAGGATTTTTCCTTGAAGCCCGTAATGCTTGAGTTTGTGGAGCAGCGGTACGTGTGAGACCCTATCAAATGCTTTTAAGAAGTCGAAGAATATGGCATCCGATATGAGTCCTTCGTCCTTGGCTTGGGTTAAGCTGTCCATAAACACGAGCATGTTTGTCACGCAAGAACGGTTTGGGAGAAATCCGTGTTGAGCTGGAGATATCAGATTGCTGGAAGTAAGGTTATCTAGGATGGCTCGCTTCAGAATGCGTTCCATCACCTTGCACGGCACGCTAGTGAGGCTCAAAGGCCTGTAGAGACGATATGTGGTCACCAGTTCTGTAAATTGGCGTGACAGTCGCTTCCTTCCAAACAGAGGGTAGGCGGCCTTAGTCAAGCGACTGACGAAACATCAGGTGTGGATGATTTGCCAGTGTGGAGGACGTGTCTTTCAGGATCCTTGGATGTACCGCGTCGGGACCCAACGTGCAGAATGGGTTGATATTGTGTTGACGAATGTCCTCCACCGTGAAGACTAAGTCGGTCAGAGTCTGTTCGTATTTCCGCCTTGACAAGGGTGGATGTGACGAAGAGGCTGAGGTTGAGAATAGACACATGTAGTGTTCTCTGTAAACCCCAGATACCACTGTTGGGTCATCGTCGGATCTCCGTTTCTGTCCCTCAAGGAGAACGCGGATGACTTGTTTCTGTGGCGATGTCTCATGTATTTGAACAGGACGTTTTTGTTCTTTCGAGCGAGGTTCATAATTGTGGCTTGTTTTCGTAAGTTCCGTTGGCGGATCTTGGATTTACAGCGGTTCCGCATTTTACGAAATGCCAGCCCATCTTCTGTATCCCCTGTAGTGAACTTTTGAAAAAGAGTTGAGACTTTTTGTCCAGAAACCGCCGAATCCTTTTCGGCAGCCCGCGGTTCATCCGAGTGCGTGCTGGTTTCTTTGGGACAAACGTCGCGTCAGCCTCGTGAACTTTCTGGACAATGGTCTTATATAGTTCTTCCACTGGAACTGGTCCCAGTGTTCAAGAAAGATGCGCATTCCTGAGAAGTCTGCACGGCAGAAGTCTCGAAACCACATTTGAGGTTCGAGATTGCTGGCCCAATAGCAGATGAAATCAAAGGTCAACACACAGTGGTTGCTATGTATCAGTGGAGCGTTAATTGTTACCTGATCAACGAAGTGTCTTTCGTTGGTGATGACCAAATCCA